GTGGGGAGCCTGAAAGCTTTGATGAAGCTTATCAGTGTGGAGATGCGAGCAAGTGGGAGCTTGCAATGAAAGATGAGATGAAGTCTCTCATATCAAACCAGACGTGGAAACTAGCTGAGTTGCTCACGGGTAAGAAGGCACTCCACAACAAATGGGTGTACCGGGTGAAAGAGAAGCAAGATGGTTCCAGAAGATATAAAGCCCGACTAGTTGTCAAAGGTTTCCAGCAGAAGGAAGGAATTGACTACACCGATATTTTTGCTCCCGTGGTGAAGCTAAATACTATTAGGACAGTGATGAGTATTGTAGCAATTGAAGATCTTCATCTCGAGCAGTTAGACGTGAAGACGGCGTTTCTTCATGGAGATCTAGAAGAGGAGATATACATGCACCAGCCAGAAGGTTTCTCAGAAGAAAAGAAGAAGAACCTGGTGTGCAGACTCAAGAAGAGCTTGTATGGCTTGAAACAAACCTCAAGGCAGTGGTACAAGAAGTTTGACGGCTTCATGCACAAGGAAGGTTTCCAGAAGTGCAACGCCGACCACTGTTGCTACTTCAAAAGATATCAGTCCAGCTATATCATCCTACTGCTGTATGTTGATGATATGCTGGTTGCAGGAGCAGATATGAAAGATATCAAGAGTTTGAAGCAGCAGCTGTCAAAGGAGTTTGACATGAAGGACTTGGGTCCAGCGAAGAAGATCCTTGGAATGCAAATCACGAGAGATAAGAAGAGAGGTCTCTTGCAGTTATCTCAGACGGAGTACATCAACCGTGTTTTGCAGAGATTCAACATGGGCGACGCCAAGCCTGTGAGCACACATTTGGCCAACCATTTTCGTCTATCGAAGGATCAGTCTCCTCAGTCAGAAGAAGAGAAAGAGAGTATGGCTCAGGTACCTTACGCCTCAGCTATCGGAAGCTTGATGTACGCTATGGTCTGTACGAGACCAGATATTGGCCATGCAGTGGGAGTGGTCAGCCGGTTTATGTCGAATCCAGGAAAAGCTCATTGGGAAGCGGTCAAGTGGATTCTGAGATATCTACGAGGCACCACACAGAAGTGTTTGCACTTTGGTAAGGGAGAGGTGGAAGTGCAAGGGTACGTAGATGCAGACTTCGGCGGCGAAGTTGATCATCGAAGAAGCACCACCGGCTATGTATTCACCGTTGGAACTACAGCTGTTAGTTGGATGTCGCAGGTACAGAAGATCGTTACCCTATCCACTACAGAAGCTGAGTATGTTGCAGTGACTGAAGCCAGTAAAGAGATGATATGGCTTCAAGGTTTGTTGACAGAGCTGGGATTCAAACAGGAGAAGAATGTTTTGCACAGTGACAGCCAGAGTGCGATACACTTGGCGAAGAATTCAGCATTTCATTCTAGAACGAAGCATATTGCGCTTCGGTACCACTTCATCAGATCCCTGTTGGAAGATGACGTGTTGAAACTGGAAAAGATTCCAGGAAGTAAGAATCCAGCAGACATGTTAACAAAGACGGTGACAGTTCAGAAACTGGAGTTGTGCGCAACTTCAGTTGGCCTTCATGCATAGATGATGAGGGCGGAGCCACACAGGAGAGGAGCGTGATGAGATAGCCCGTCGGCGTCGGTTTGGTCTCCAAGTGGGAGATTGTTAGAATTGGGGGTGGAAACTGCGTTCAGCTCGAAGTTGGCGTCGAAGCGGTCGCTGGCGACAGGCTGTCGCCAGCCCATCAACTCTCCCTATAAACCCCCCCCTCCAGCCTAGGGTTTGTTGCTGCTGATTTCTTCCCCTCCTCCGACTTTTCTCTCTAGCGGCTGCCCTAAATCGCTGCTGCGATTTTTTTGATTTATCCCCAGCTTCAACAGTGTTTGAGGGGGATTAAAGAAGAGAGATAAATAGAGAATTAAAGAAGGGTTTTATTTGTGGGTTGTTTATTTATTCTCAAGTGAGAATTGAAAGGGTTCATACCCTTTAATTATTAACACTGTAGCTACAGTGTTTAATTGAGAGATCTCATTGTAGGCAGTTGCCGAACCTCGTTAAAACTTGGTGTATTTTTTCTATTCTGCGTTTCCGTTGCATTAGGGATTTCAGCGTTAAATTCCCAACACTCCTCATTTCCGCCTTCGCCAAACACAACTAGCACCAACAAGCTCTACAATGGTACCACGCCATGATCCAAGATTGAGTCAAGCCCGATGTGTACACTTTTAACATTCTCATAGGTAGCTCGAATCATTTTCGAAGGCGTCTTGAGAGATTTTGATCAATGGGCTTTGTAGAGAAGGGAGAGCTTTCGAAATGTGTGGAATTTTGATGGGTTTCTTAGCGAAATGAGCGGTGCCTAATGGGTTCGATTGCTTTGTGTTAGTCGGAGCTTTATGCAACTACGAGAATGAGGATAGAGTTTTTGTGACTTGTAGCTCATTAATGGAGAGCTTGAGGAAATGTGGGAAGAAAGATGAAGCTATTGGGTTTATGGAGAGAGTGATGGAGAAGGGGATGGTTTTGGATGAGATTAGTTGCAACTGCTTGCCACTGGGAGCCACACTAGCAGCCACATTCGTCGCCGGAGAAGAAATAATATACCAATATTTTGCTGCAGAAAAAAATAATATACAAATATGTCGCCGCAGAAAAAATAATATACCAATATATCGCCGAAAAAAATATACCAAACTGTCACTAAGGGTAAATAAAATATACCAATTTGATATTTTTGCCCCATTTTTAATATTGATGATTATACTAACTTTTTACAATATTTGAATTGATTTACTATTTTTTTATATATTGATAGATCAGCTGCTTATTCCGATATTTTATACGTTGTTCATAGTACCGAGTACTGATTTATTTAAATTTATAGTAGAAAATATATTTTCCTTCTTATATGAATTTCTAAACAGGAATTTTTTTCCCAACAAGCGAAGCTGGTGATAGGTGATAACTCGTGCAAATGAGAATATGCCAAATATCTTCATTACTTATTCTTTTCGCATGTAATTGAGGAGAAACGAGGAAGATATTGTCACTCTCAATTTAATATGATTGTGCCCTCACGGTCAATTATGAAGCAATTTATGACAAAAGGCAAAGGACAAGTTAGTAAAATGCCGTGCACGTAAAGATTGGGTTGGATTTGATTATTGCTACTGACAATTATGAAAATAAGATAATAGTAAGCAAATTGAAATACATTGCCCAACGATACATTTGATAGCAAGAGTTACCTTCGATTTGGAAGTAATTTTTTTCAAATTTTTTTAGGCGTGAGCGCATTTTCCATTGATTTTTGAAGTGTGAGATATGTTTCCAAATATGAAAATAGTTTTAGAATGAAGGCTGAAGCTCATATAAATCAAAAGGGGAGCTTTTAAAAAAAAAAAAAAAGAGAGAATCCCCAAATATGTTATATGATACCATTAACCTTTTTTCTAAATAAAGATTAATCACATATAGAGCCCATGTAACATCAACTTTTTGAACTTATTGTTGCATAGTTCAGATGTTGTGGATACACCCTCTTAGATTGATGTTTTTACTCTTTTATCATTGACGAAATTTTGGCAGATGTTGCTCATAGATTAAACGATAAAAGAGTCAAGAACTATTTTCGATAATCGAAATATAGAATTAATAAATTCCAAAGACCGAGACTAAGGGAATATATGTGCAATTAACCTTTTAAATATTAGTATTGATTGAAAAGCAATCTAATTAAGTGTGTTTCGTAAATTCACACCATCAAATAAAAAGTATAGACATGTGATCAAGGGCTTACTCCATTAACACAACAAGTATCCACAAGCACAAATAGATCCAATGACATCTCTAAACCTACATTTCCTAAAAATCGTCTTTACATTTTATGTCAACAGATGGGAAATTTTGAACCAACTTATGCCTTTTGATAAAAGGAGGAGCATTGTTTTCCTTTTGAATAATATTATTAGCAATGAAATTATGCAAGTTATTATGATGTTGACCTTCACTAGTATAAATTACAGTAAATTAATAAGAGGAGTGATTACACAGTCATCTGGTTCAAGTTGAAGCCTAATCATCCTCGTCTATGTAAACCCTTTCCGCATTCTCCCAACAAATAGTGACAAGTTGGCGGTACAGACCGAAATAAACAGGGTGCATTTATAGATAACCATGGATATTTAAGCATATCATGTCGTCACTTGTCGCGTGAAAAATATCATAAAGATAAAGGATCATATAGCAAAGTAGATGAAAGTAACACATGTGGTTCTTAAACTTCAAATTTTAAACGTGGTTTTCAATATTAGTCCTTCGATCTAAATCTTTAATAAATTAATAAATTTAATTTCTCAAATCATTAAAATTATGTATTATTAAGTCTTTGAAATCTTATAAGTTGATTCAAACCAGTCCATACTTCAGAAATTTTGAATTTTGTCTGATGTGTTAATACTAGATGGGTAACTGATTAATGTTATTTTTGTCATTTTATCCTTATTATACGTACCAATTAGATTTTAGATCAGAAAGAACCGTTGTAGAATGGATTCATATGCAACTGACAGTTAGGAGTTTTATTAACATGTGTGGACTTTAAATGTGTTTGGTTAGTAGACAAACATCGGAATACATACGGTTATAACCAACGTTACATTGTAAAAAGTTATCTCTCAAAAGAAATTTCCTCCCAAATAAAACAATAGAAAACTAGGAGGACTGATTAGAGGGACTACTTTCAAAATATTAAGATTTCAAAATAATAGCAGAATAGAATATTATACAAATACAATCACTATTTTTTAGATTCGTTTTTATGACTATGGATCATTTTCTATATGATTTGCTAGTGTACAACATTTTTTAATGGCTTCTTTTATAGCAAATTTTTTTGGGGGCAAAAAAAAAGGTGAGATACCCTGTTCATATATATATATATACAAAATTTATTACAAAATTGAGCTAGAATAAGAAGCGACGGTAATACTAGAGGATAGGGAGAGGACCTTATCGTCACCTATCACTCTATACTAGAGCATCGATTCTAATTCTCCCAGAGAAACTGAGAAACAAGTGTATCTTTGCTGAACTCTCAGTTGTAATAACCCTTACGCTTTTATAGCAAAATTTTTAAAAAAAAATCCCACACAAGAAAGTAACCTGTACATATAAAGCCACGGGGTGAAGCTTCGTCTATCTGCTCTCCTTGTTTCTTGTATGCAACCTTTATCAAGTACATAATTAATATATTGAATAATTATTGAAGGCCATGGCAAAGAGAGCCATGGCTCTTCTTGATGTCGTGATGATTCTTGCCATATTGAGTTCTTCTTCCTTGTTCCTTCTGTCATCGGCCGAGCTCCCGAGATTCGAACATCCGGTGAAGGGAGATGGGTCTTTGAGTTTGCTTGCAGTGGGAGATTGGGGAAGAAATGGGACTTTTAATCAATCTCAAGTTGCTTATCAGGTTCATATTAAGCTCTCGTTAGGTTTTTTTTTTCTGTATATGTTGGTTTTTCTTAAATTCTTTTTCATTGTATCAAAGCTTTGAAGTTGTGGCAATAATTAACGATTATAATTCATAATCTGACATGCTTGAATCTCCTTTTCGCGGGCCAAAAATTTAGGATACATTTGAATTTGGATTGCTATGTCATTTTAAAGACTCTGTTTAATGCATTAGAACTTAGAAGATATGATAGAGGTGAGGATTATGAATTTATAGACTAACATGTGGATCTTTTTCCATTGTTAAAAAGAAATGAAAATATCACAATTTTCATAATAGCCATCTATATATTATTCAGCGGATATTTGTAATTTATATTGAGAAAAACAAAATAGAAAACTAAAGACACATTAATCCAGACTGCATACTGAATTCAAACATGCTTTTATCATATCTCATCATCTTAGTTATTTGGTGTTTTATTTTTTTCTCTTAAATTAATTGTTTGTTAGAGCATGTATTATTATTTTCAAATGTTGCATTTTTCTTAGAAAATGGGTGGACCTTTGCCTTTACAGGTATAAGGGAGGTAATTAGCATGAGCTGGCTTTTCGGGACAATTAAGCATTTCTAACTTTTTTTGACTAATTCCTGTTTATTCTGAAAGGAAAGTCAGGACAATTTTTTTTGTTTATCTATTTTTTTGACTTTGAAGAGGCATGTTTGATTTATTTTTTTATTGAAAGAATTTTTCTACTAGTCATGTTCGTAATAATTTATATTGAAGCACAAGAAGATTTACTCCAATTTTTAACATTTTGGTGCGCAAAAAACTTTTTGTAGGAATAAGAGGTCGCTTAATTACAAGGGTTACAAGAATTTCTCCTTGATAAACATAATAGCATAGCACCCTTTTTTTTCTTTTTTTTCTTTTTTTCTTTTTTTTTCTTTTTTTGCGGTCTCTGGAAGAAGAGGGAAATAGTAGTTCAGCTATTTAGGTATTCTTAGGGGGTGTTTGGTTACATTTCTATAAATTATAGGAAATGTTTTCCACTCAAAATTTGATTTCCTTGTATTTCTTAAAAAAATTATAGGAAAAGTTTTGAGAAGTTAAAAAGTACAAATTTTCTTACTTTTTGTATTTTGCTTGTTTGGTTCAAAACAAGAAAATGACTCATAACTTTTGGGAAAATAGCAACATTTCTTATAATTTATAGAAATGTAACCAAACACCCCCGTTCTATATAGAAAAGTGAGAACTTTATAGAAATGTGTTAATGAGTTTTATTATTTAAATAATAAATGCGTCAGATTTCCAAGAGATTTCCGCCCATTTTTGAAGGAAATCAATTTCTATAAAATTTGGTACTTTTCTGTACTTTATAGAAAACATTTCTGTAAATCTTTTTTGAGCCAAACACAGTTTATAGAAATCTATAGAAATCTCTTAATTACAAAAATGCCTTTGTTTGTACTTTTTGAGAAAACATTTCTCAAAAACAATGCAACCAAACACCCCCTTATAGTAAATTTTACACAGAATTTTGCACAGAATTAGGAAAGTGGATGGTAACGGTAATCTTTGAGTAATTACTGACGATCCATTTTATTTATTTCCTCATCATTACTTTCTAAAAACAAAAGCTTTATATTTACTAGCATTATTGCAAGTGCAATTAAAAATTCTTTATCTGAACTGTTGCATAAGTGGATTAATTGCATTTAATAATATTCTAAAGTTCAAAGTTAACAACTGCAATTTGAGGCGTAAAATACATATTATAATAGTTTTTAGGGCAAAATTAAAAATAGTAAAATCGATAGGCATATATGAAAAACTTTTGTTTTGCTCATTGATTTTAGAGAGAAGATGAATGTGTTTTGCTCATTGATTTTAGAGAGAAGATGAATGTTGCATAAGTGGTTAAACTGTCAATTCTCTTATATTTTCTCATAATTCCCAGTTTGTCCTTAAACAAGCGGAAAATAAATCAATAAAAGCAAAGCTAAGGAGAGGAGAATTTTCCATAATTCCTTATATTTGTTTATCCCCTCATAATGTCATTTATAAAGTAGCATAGATGGGTTTTATAGTTTTGACGGCAAAATATTGACTTTGAAACGGCAGAGATTCAAGTTGGCTTGAAACGCGCGTGGCTAAAGTTGTAGTATTTTGACTAATTCAAATTAGTTATGTGAACATTTTCTTTATTAATGGACATTATTATTTATGCATATTCATATTCATATTCACATAACTAACTCATTCTAGTTTCTTGAAAAATGTGGCAAATTGTAAGCCCTGTTATGAAACATTCTTTGAAAATGATGCTTTTTTTTATTCATGATTTAAGTCTACATGAATCGTTTTTGTTCTTTCCAATATTTGACTATATATAATTCCATACGAAGTATAATGGCTAACATTATTCATAACATGGATAAATAAATTGATTTTAAATAAGGGGACGATGGTTATGGGCTGACAGCTTATTAAGCAAAATGAGTTATTAAGAGAGAGTAGTGAGACCTACACCTTCTGATGTGACTAACAAGGTGAGTCTCACAGCATGATTATCTCTTAATAGCTCATTTAGTAAAAGCAGCTGCCATTTTATACTTGTTATTTCCTTCAAATAAATATAGATAACTATTGACTATGATCTTTGACGAACAGATGGGAAAAATTGGAGAAGAACTTGACATAGATTTTGTGATCTCAGTTGGTGACAACTTTTATGAAAGTGGACTCACCGATGTAAACGATCCAGAGTTTGAGAATTCCTTTACCAATGTATACACTGCCAATAGCTTGCAAAAACAATGGTATGCTGGTGAGTAATTTACAATGCCAAACCTCAAAAGTTTAGGTATTTCACACAACTATTATGATCTGAGGGGATTCGCACAAAAATATCAACTTCGATAGAAAAAAAATATTGTATACCATCAAAAGACTGTATTGTAGTTTTACCGAAACATCTGAACTCCATGGTAGTTGTCTGACAACAACATAAAGTTCGTTGATTAATGTAGTTGCAAAATATAAATAAAAATTCATGGGTGTTTTTCTGTTGATATGAAAGTTTGTGATATATTTTTTTAGAAATAAAAACTGTTTTTAAAATTTTTGTGCAAAATCGCTAATAGTTCATGATACTTTTACCGTTACTTTTTTGGTTTACATTATTTTCAACTTTTTTTTTTCTTTGTAGTATTGGGAAATCATGATTATAGAGGCAATGTGCTTGCACAATTAGACCCATTCCTTCGAACAATCGATAGCCGATGGCTCTGCATGAGATCCTTCATTGTTGACACAGGTGAAAGTCTTGTAGATTTAAAGATTGTTATTTTAAATTCTAAATAAGAAATAAATTAATTATTTTCTCTTTATTATCTGTAGAGGTTGCACAATTTTTCTTTCTGGATACTACTCCCTTTGTCAAGAAGTACTGGACTCATCCGAAAAAGAGCCATTACGACTGGAGGGGGGTTGCGCCACGCAAGAAGTACATGTCAAACCTCTTAAAGGTACATATATTCATGATAAATTATTTTTGCGATATAATATTTCCTTTCTTATGACCATTTTTTTTTACTATAGTTACCTTTAGGTAGAATTTTATATATAAATAACTTACATTATAATATTTAAAATTTAAAACAATAACATAAAACTTTATCCAAATTATGTACATAGGATTTGGATACAGCACTAGGAGCATCAACTGCAACATGGAAGATCATCGTTGGACATCACGCAGTGAGGAGCGTTAGCGAGCATGGAGACACTGTGGAGCTCGTCGATACACTTCTCCCAATTCTCGATGTAAAAAAGCTTATCAATCAATTTCACCGCTCTATATATCACTTTTTATAACGTCTAATACTTGAACTTACTCAGACTTATGGAGCTGATCTATATATCAACGGTCATGACCACTGTCTCGAGCACATCAGTAGTATTGACAGGTAAAAAAGACATGGTTAATTATTCTCCAATATATTCCATGTGCAAGGGCATGTTTGACAACTGCAAGTCAAATTAGTTTAGCAGAACAAATCAGTTTAAATCATGACCTTAATTTGGAAAAAAAAAAGAAAAGAAAAATCAGAGAATGAATCAAACTGGTTTAATTTGTTTAGGCCAAACTTAATTTCGAGGGGAGTTGTCAAACTGGCCCTAAGTTTTTGTGATGCTAATAATGTTTGTTTGTCTGTCTGTTTCAAGTCCACTTCAATTTATTACAACCGGAGGAGGATCAAAGGCTTGGAGAGGTATATACAAGCCTACAAATGAAAATTTGCAACTGTTCTATGATGGACAAGGATTCATATCTCTGCAACTAACGAGGGCTGAAGTGAAAATTGTGTTCTATGATGTTGATGGAAAGGTTTTGCATCAATGGAGCAATGCCAAAGAGCTCAATTACTTCATCTAAAAGGTACAGCTTCGCTTGTAGATTTCGATCGGAGATCTTGGCAATGAACGAGATGAAATCCTATCTTGATTTTTGAACAATGTGATACATAGATGACTTGGTATCGGATGGTCAAATTAATCTTTCAGATGGTGTTTATGAAGTAACTATACATTTTCTCAAGCATCTTCTTTAAAGCCATAAAGCAAATAAAAAATAGTAAGTCATTACATTATGCTAGGAGAGTGTTTCACATTTGAGCATAGTGATTGATGTCAATTATGTTAATCTTTCATTATCAATTTTACTTTAAGAAGATGCCAAAATATACGACACACTTCAACAAATCATAAGAAACGTGTTAGGTAGGATATCAAAGTGTGTGAATCTTGCCATTTATGAAGTGGCAATAGCAATTTTTTGAAGTTTGGAGCAGAAAGTAGTTAATCACAAAACTCAATGGGCGTGTGTTCGCGCTTTGAATCTTCCAATTAGGCGTGTAAAGTAGTAAAAGTTCATTCAGTTGTGCTTTTGTTTGTTTGGCCTCCATTTGACTTTTAGCATTGTGAAACTTTTGTGATGGAGTTCTGGCACAATCAAAAATTTCCACGTAGGAGCCCTTGGTCAGCTAACCCTATAGTTCTTGGATTCATTACAAGTACATCCTTTGTACTATGTCTCTCCTAAATTATTTTAACAGCATACATGTATCTAGAATATCTAACAGTATTATTATTATTACTATTTTCCGTTTTGAGATGTCTAAATAGAATTATCTCTTTGCTATTTGTACACGTACCATATGCGGTTATGTTCAAACACCTATAGAAGAATAGAGTGTCTAATCTTCAATAAGCTGAAATACCAGAAGATCATTGTGCAATATATTAAAGTTATTTGACATCCATGTGACCAGTGTATATAGATAACCTAGAGATAAATCTGTTTTCACGTTAGGAGGTGGTAAACTCTGTGTTCTACAAGAGGGTGCATCTTTTGCGCGCCGTACGAAAGCATGTTCGACAACCAAACGAGTCCGCGAGCGATGATAGAAGAAAACCAAACCAAATACGAGTGCAATCTACCAGAATACAACACAAATCAAACCAAACACAGATATTTACGTAGTTCGGCAATTGCTTACGTCCACGAGGAGAGGATGAAGAGATTTTACTTTATGGAGAAGAAATACAATGAGTTACAACTCACAAAATCACTCAAATATAACCCTAACCAAATATCTCAACTCCCTCACAATCTCTCTCTCTCAAAGTGCTCAAAACAATGCTAATCCTCTCCTTTAGAAACCCTAAAAACGTGTTTGTATTTATATCAAACACTTAATCCAAAACCAACCACGAAAACCAAAACAGGCCCATAATCGCTTGGTGGCCGACTAAACACATGCGACGGTCGAACCGCTAGACCGTTCGGCGACGGCAGGACCGTTTCGGTCGACGGCAAGCCCGTTCGATTCGACGCCAGACCGTTCGGCCGACGGCCAGACCCTATTCGGTGTCGACGACCGATAGGGGTTTCAAACCCTTATATTCAGAATCTGTCGGCTCGCTAGCCTATGCTGTCAGTCGACCGACTCGAGGGATTTACTGTACTCGTGTTTTTGCGTAATTTTCTCAAATCCTTCGCCATTTTTTATAATTCTCCGCCTCGGCAAAATTTTCCCAAAACTAAGCCGACACCAACATGAGCACCAATGCGTCATCTCACCAAATCCGGCTGTACCAATGTGGTTGCCTACGTACCCCCTCTCCCAAGGGATCAAGTCGCTCGTAGTTCATCCAAATGGCCGCAAACGACCTCAACAATCACGAATTTGCAACAAGTTTCTACAATGATCAAACTTGTTGCTCGGGACCACCTTCATAAGCATATCGCTGGATTATCTTTTATGTGGACCTTCACGAGCTCCACATCCCCATCTTCAAGAACATCTCGAACAAAGTGATAACGAACATCGATATGCTTCGTCCTCGCATGAGACCTGATTCTTTGCCAAATAAATAGCACTCATGCTATCATAATAAATGGTGACGGATCGCTGCGAAACTCTAAGATCCTCTAAAAGTCCTCGAAGCCAAATCACCTCCTTAACAGCCTCCGTAATGGCCATATACTCTGTCTCCGTTGTTAACAAAGCCACCGTAGATTGCAAGGTGCATCTCTAACACACCGACGCTCGAGTCAAAGTGAACACATACCCTGTCAATGACTGATGTTTATCCAAATCTCTAGCGTAGTCCGAATCTACGTATCCAATACATATCTGGCCACCGCTAGTGTGCCGCTCAAAAACCAAATTAACGTTGAGAGTACCTCGAATGTACCTCAAAATCCATCTCACGGCATCCCAATGACCCGGGCCTGGGTCGTGCATGTATCTTAAAACCATGCTCACTACCTGTGACAAATCCGGCCTCGTACAAACCATGGTGTACATCAAACTTTCACTACGCTCGCATATGGAGTCTTCGATATCAACTCTCTATCTTCAACTGTCTTTGGTGAAAGGTCAGCTGAAAGCTTTAAATGGGCTCCCAATAGTACACTAACTGGCTTCGTCTCCATGCTCACATTGAACCGTTGTAGAACATTCTTTAAATAAGCCATCTACGTCAAACAAATTCTGCCATTGTCTCTGTCTCTACCGATCTCCATTCCCAAAATGCGCTTCGCTTCACCCAAATCCTTCATCTCAAACTCGCTCGAAAGCTGAATCTTTAATCTGTCTATCGCGGATCTAGAAGTAGAAGCAATTAACATGTCATCTACATAAAGCAATAAGTAAATGTACGCAACTCTATTCAACTTGTGATAGTACACGTAAGGATCAAACTAGCTCCTAATGTACGAATGGCCGATCATGAACCCATCAAATCGCCTATACCACTGTCGCGGAGATTGCTTCAAACCGTATAGTGATTTCTTCAACCTACAAACCAATTTCTCCTTCCTTGTAGCTCGGAACCCCAATGGCTGAGTCATATAGATTTTCTCATTAGGATCACCATGAAGAAATACCGTTTTCACATCTAATTGATCCAATTCCAAACCATATTGTACCACCAAAACTATTAAAATTTGCATCGAAGAATGCTTCACTACCGGAGAGAAGACCTTATTGTAGTCAATACATTCCTCCTGTGCATATCCGTTCGCAGCCAACCTATCCTTGAACCTCACGGGAGTGCCTTCAATGCCCTCCTTCTTCGTATACACCCACTTGCAACCAATAGCCTTCCGTCCCTTTGGAAGCTCGACAAGCTCCCATATGTCGTTCCTATGTAGAGACTCCATCTCCTCCTGCATAGCCACCTGTCACAAATCAGCCTCCGAACTCTGCTCGGCCTCTCCGAATATAGTAGGAACTATCTTATCGACACTCTCCACTAGAAGTGCATACGCAACGACTGTGCCTGTATACCTCGCTAGCATCCATATGTCTCTCCTTGGGCTCCGAACCGTAATCGAATCCTGAACCTGAGCCGTCGGTCTCTAATCCTGCTCAACTGTACCTGTATCCTCCAAATCATCATCGTGCTCGCCTGGCGTCACCTCAGTCGACACTCTAATAGATATGGTCTCATCTGGAAAATGTGGAGCTGCATCAATCTCCACCACTTGCGAAATCTCCTCTGTCGGGGTGCTCTCCACCTGATGAGAGGTGGGAAGCTTCAAGATCGAAGCCTCATCGAATGTGATGTCTCTACTTAGCATAATTTTCTTATCAATTGGATCTCAAAGCTTGAATCCTTTCACACTATGCTTGAATCCAACAAATATGGCTTTTTTAGCTCGAGGTTCTAATTTATCAGTCTTCACATGATAAAATGTAAGGCACCCAAATACCTTGAGCTGATCATAATCGCGTGCTGTCTCCCCCGACCACATCTCTATAGGGGTTTCTTCTCAATCGTAGATGAATGCAACCTATTAATGAGGTGACTCACATATAAAAGTGTCTCAGCCAAAAAGATCTTCTCCAAACCACTCTGCGATAACAAACATCAGACCTTCTCCAATAAAGACCGATTCAATCTCTCTGTCACCCCATTCTGCTACGCTTAGAATAGTCATCTACAAATACGACGAACCAATATCGACCACCAAGTGATATAGTCTTGGTGGGATCCCAAACATCCGTGTGCACGTAGTCCAAGATGCCCGTCGTCCTGTGTACGACTGTCCTGAACTTTACTTTTTCCTTCTTGCCAAGAATGCAGTGCTCACAGAATTCTATATTTTCACTCTTAGCTCCTTTCAATAGCCCCTGCTTGTACAAAGCCTGCAGTGACTTTTCACATGTGTACCTCAACCTATTGTGCCAAAGTCTGCTCGCGTCCGCCTCTAAAATAGCTGAAGCTACCTGGCCAATCTCGGTGTTTTCCTTTAGATAATACAAATTCCTACTGCGGACTCCCTTCATCACCACCAAAGATCCCATAGTAACCTTCGCTACAGCGTTCTCAAAGGTCACCTTGAATCCCTTTGCCTCCCAAGCTCCAACGAAAATAAGATTCTTCTTCAACTGAGGAACGAATCTTACTTTATTCAATTCACGAACAACTCCATCGTGCATCCGGATCCTAACGGTACCTATCCTACAAATGCCACATGATTGATCATTTCCCATGACTACCACACCCCCATCGAGTCTCTCGAATGATGCAAACCAATCTCGCCAGGGAGTCACATGATAAGTAGCATCAGAATCTAGCATCCAATCAGATGCATCCACATGGTTCACCTATGAAGTAATCAATAGAGAAAAGCACGAATCATCGGAATCATCACCTCTAGCAATGTTCATCTCATTGGCCTTCGGGCCCTTCTTCTTGTTATTCTCCTTCTCTTTGAGCTTCAGGCAATCTCTCTTTCAATGTCATTGTTCCTTGCAGAACGCACACTGATTCTTTGCTAACTGGTAGTGGCCTCTTGACTTTGACCCGTCTCTATTACCAGCTCTTGGATATAGACTTCTTCCTCTCGTCGACAAGGCATCTCCGGAAGTGCTAGCTCGGGAAGTCTCTTTGTCCTTCCTCCTCAAATCGCAATTCGTTAATGCATTAGTAGGTGATGGAAGATCTACTATTCAACAAAGTGAGCACGAATGTATCATACTCCTCATCGGGTAAGGAGTCCAACAAAATAATCGTCTTGTACTCGTCCGTTATCTTCTCATCCACGTTTGCCAAGTTCGACAACAAATTTGTATAG